CAAATGTCTATAAAAGAAATGAGGAAATGATTTTATAAGCTCTGTTCCTTCACAAACTGTAAAAAACAAAACAAAAAAACCCAGGAGTGAACTTGTGACTTCATTTAAATCAGTGACATTGACTTCAGAGGGGTCAGATATTTACCTTGAGTTTTTTCTCAGATCCACACCAGTCAATTAGTAAACAACAATAATGAGGCTGGAACTCTATTAGGAAATCATTATCACCAATTTGTCACAGTCCTTCATTTACCCAGCTCATCCAAGGAGAAGGGGAAAAAAAAAGAAATAAAGTAAATTGCTCAGAATCAACCTTGTTTTCCCAGTACTCCTGTCATTCTTGCCTCATGCCTTTTCTACTTCTTTATGTTTTGCGTTCCATCCAACCCAGTTCTCATCCCTGTTTAGGTTCAAATTCTATACAGTTTTAAGCTTGGACATAATTTTATACATTTATGTATTGCTATAAAAAACAGTGGCAATACTGGAGTATTTAAACCTGTTATAAGTCTTTATAGGTTCATGACCTAAGGTTGTACTTTGGGAATCAGGAATTATCTTTTATGTTTGTGTATCATCCAGCATAATAGGGCTCTAATGAGGCTACTAGGTCAGTGATGTCTTAGTACAAATAATAGTTGCATGTTGATTTTCTTTTTAGTCTGCCTCCAGTCATCTCTGTCATCACTCATTAAGTCTTCAATTTAAAAATGTGTGCTTCTGTCACAGAAAATCATTTTTCAGTTTCATGTCCATCTTAAGTGGAGTCACTATGTTATTCATGGTGTATTTGTCTGTGACATTTTTATTTTACTAAAATACCAGAAGCAAAAATTAACTTGTTTTGTTCTTCCTTGACTTATTTGTGTTCTCGCAGCTATGGTTGAGTGTGTTTTTTTACCTAGGTGCTCTGTGAAAGTTAAAATCATTGGGGCCAGTACTCAGAGACAGTGACTTGCTTCTTTTCAACTCAGTTAACTAAGGCCCTTGGTAGTGAATTTAAGTGTTGAGATGATCCATTTGAATCAGAGCTTAAGTAAATATTTCATAATTTAATCCAATAATGATGAAAGCTAGAGTCAATGTCTTACATAGAAGATATGTTTATAAAGCAGGGGGATACAAAGGGCAGCCATAAGGCTGATATATACGGAGGCTAACATGATTTACTCTAAATAGAAAAGTCCTACTGAACTTTAAGAACAGCTGCAAATGGACTCCAGAAAACATAGGGCACTTTTACATGTGCTCCAGGGGTGGGAAGGTGTGTGAATAGCACAGGTCCAAGGACTGAGCCTTGGGGGACCCCACTGCCCACATCTTTCCAGGTCAATACCAACCCATCCACCACCACTCTCTGGGTGCGACCCTTAAGCCAATTTGCCACCCACCGGACCATGTAATTATCTGTGTCACAGCCACTCAGTTTGCTTGATTTAAGATACAGTAGGAGATTCAAACTATTCCTTAGGCATGAAAATAAATATAGTATATTTATTAGTATATATTTTTAATTATTTATTTTGTTTGACATCTTGTTTTTAATACCATAGTAAAATAAACAACTAAACTGGATTCTTTGGGAAGAAACTTGGAAGAGATATTTCTTTTCTGTAATTTTCAGAATTCAGAAGATATTAATTATGTAGTGGGTTCTTGATATATACTAAGTAACATGCATACATTCTCCACATTAGGTAAACTGTACTTTAACAAGGCAAGTCATTTGTGCTTTGCAAAGTTATTTAAGTCTCTTTTAAAGAAAAGATGTATCTGATCAGTCTTTTATCTCTACACTTCCATTTAATCTAGTTTAAAATTGATTTTGTAATTGTAAAAATATTTACAAGGAATAATTATGAGTGATGTCAGAGTCTTAGCAGCAGATGAATTTTTATATTAATGAATTTATGAGAAGCATGACTTAAAAAAAGAATACACCACTTGAAATCTATGTAGGTAAGTTTTGGCAACTACATAGCAAATTTTATATAAATGCCTCTGAAAATCTATTTTGTGGCACTGGAAGAGGGAAGGCTTATTTCTGGCTTGAAAATATGAATGATAATGAATGAAAAATGTATTACTAACCTTAATAACAGACAGGAAACTGTGGAACAAGAATTCATCCACAAACTGTACTGTGCTAAGTATGGTTTAAACATAGATTATGGATTATTATCTCATTACCTGGATGAGCTTTTGTGACCCCTTTTGTTCCTATGGGTTTACTGCACATTTGTTTTACTCTCCTAGCACTGACTCCCTCCTTCCTATCTCTTTCTCCTTCTCCCTCTCCCAGCCCCCACCTTTGTCTTTTGTATTCTGATTTATCTCTCCTTGTTATAATTTTGCTTTCTGTATATCCTTTACAATATCTTTGGCTTACAAAAACTTGTGGACTATTTATGTCTGATTTAATTAGTCTATACATGTGCATATGCACTCTGCCTTCTAACCTTGTTCATGCCCATTGTTACTGCAAATATTAGTTGATTGGCTTTTATTGATGTACTTAATATTAATATCGTTATTTGGAAGACTTTGTTGGGAGAAAGGACCAAATTCTCAGCTAATATAAAAAAGAGGAGTTCTCAGGCATGTCAAGATGTCTCATCCTTATTCCTACCTATCCTTTTTTTTATTTTGAGTTATGAAACTATTGCCATGAGTAAGTGTTCGGCATTCACCCCACCACTATATGGTGGGTTCTTATATATGAGAAATAAATAATAGTATTCTCTCAAAAGAATACTGGCATTTGATATATATAGCCTATTGTTTTATTAACATTATTGATCAATTATAAAGAAGTATCCTGGGTTTTTTTTGGCAAATTGCACTGTCCTCCATGCTCATTATTCAGATAATACATGCATAAAATCTAATGTAAAAGTTACTCATAACTTCAGTGGCTTATAACAAAATACAGCAACTTACATAGGGCTTATCACCTTCTGAATATTATATCATTAAGTACTGTACATATTTTCTTTCTAGCGCCGTGTGGGAGCCGGTCAACAGGTTCTGAAGGAACAGTGTTATCACCAAACTACCCCAAAAACTATAGTGTTGGTCACAACTGTGTTTACTCTATTGCTGTTCCCAAGGAGTTTGGTAAGTAAGATTAGTTTCATTCTTACTGTTTCTTGCATACTTGCTGCTGCTTCTGCACTTATCTTTCTGGATACATTTCATAAGCATCATTTATGTTGACAAATATTCATACTGCATTTTAAAGAAACTTTTGAACGCTAATATTTCTCATTACAGATTTGATAAATTCGACATTATGCAGATGTTCTCTTGTTAATATCTGCATGCACACTTGCCTAAAAATATATATTTTTTAAGACAATACAATTTTGAAAGTAATTGTGGTTTGCCTAGTATTACTGTGCTTTGAAATGAGAAATATATTATGGATATGTCAGTGTTAAAGAGAATAGGTGAAATTTAGCATTGATGCAAGTTCATATTAATGATTGCTGTGATTCCACGCAAATGGAGGTACACCACAAATTACTGCTTCAGGGAAGGGTTGGGAGTTACACTGGCTTTAAATCTCCACAGCACACTCCTAATTTAGGGTTTGCTGATCTGTATAGAACCTGCCTTAGGGCCTTGTTTGAGTTAGAGCATCCTATCCCTTTCTACCTGTAGTCTGAGGTACTGCCCAAAATATTCACAGTATTGCAAATTGAGACCCCACTTCTGATATTTCCTCCGTGCCAGCGCTTGTAAGATTGCCCTTTGGTTATAGTTGGCTTCTGTCACTTTAGTGAAAGACAAGAGTATTCAGAGGAACACTTTCTGTTGAGATCCAGTGTTTTTAGGGCCTCTTTAAAATATCTTAGTCATAGAGTGACCACAGAGAGAGTGATGATTTCAGTCATAGAAACTTTCTGGTATACTGAACTCAATGACTGAAAAGAAAGATCAAGAGAAGGGGTGCTTAGTAGCCAGGTAGATAATGTGTGATATACAAATGTGGTCACTAGCCAGGACAAAGAGGGAAGTATATAGCTAAATTATGGATAAAGACGAAGTTGGAGTAAATCAAGAAGAAAAACAGATGACACAATAATTTATCAAGGTTGCAGCATACAGAATTTTATAGAAAACAGTAAGATAGGGATTAAATAGATCAAGTAATCATTATGGAATGCAGAAACTAAAATTTCTAGGTTGTTAAATTAAATTGTAGCTAAACTTCTCATGACTGAATTATGGTTTGATGGCTAATTTGTAGCAAATGAAAATTAAAAACATGTTCCTTGCAAATGTTCCTTGCTCTTTCAAGAGAACTGCTGTTAAAGGACAAAAAGAAACACTTACCTTCCTACTATCAGCAGTTGGTCCTGGTACATTAGGTTTGGAACATAGCAGGAGAAAGCCACAATCCATGTTTGCATCCTATCCACAAAACAGAGAATTTCTAGTTTCAATTATAAGGATTATTAGAGGATGCCTGATAGAAATACCATATATATTAATTGGAGTAAGACTATATAGTGAAGTTTAATGATAAGATGAAGAAGTTGAAAGAGTTACAGAAGGAAAAACAGAATTATGTGTAATTTTGGCTTTTTAATTTTTCATATTGTTCACATGACTAGTTCTATCTTACTTCTATCCAGTTTCAGCATATCTTGACATTGTAATAATTCATTAATATTTTATTTCTTCAAGCACGAGGAAATATTATGTACTTAGATTACATTTTCAATAGGAAAACAGTTACAATGTATGTGTGCATAATTCAAGTGTCTTCAAACAGGTCAGTTGTTGAAACAGAATATGAGATGATAGTTCAGTACATCTTTATCATTTCACTTTTAGATCCCTGAACAAGGACTTAATGCTTACATAGAAAAACTTTATCAAACTATTTTCTAACTGTAATAAGAGAAGTGGGAAATGGGCTATGAGAATGGTGGATGTGGAGGAGTTCCTTTAGATAAAACTATTTTCAAAACAATTTGCTTTCTCATAGGTTATGGTGACCATTAGGGTCCGGTCTTTGCTGGGGCAATCCCGTTTTATATACCTGCCCCAGATCTCCTGTTGGTCTGGTCATATGAACGCTACTTGTACAATAAGTATGTTTGATGTGGAATATCAGATTTCCATTTCAATGTGAAATATCATATCCAAACTATATGGTAAAGTCATGAATTTTAGTTCTGATATGTCATGTTTTCTAGTTTGTCCCAGCCCTAGGTCTACCTAGATTAACTGTACCTAATTTAAGCATTAAATCTAATGATACAAGCATGTACTAATGTAACAGGCAAAATTATGATTTTTAGTAAAAGTATTACCTACTTCAGTGCAGTAAAATTCCTGTTATTTGGCACAAGTAGGGAATGGGGGGTAGTGGATATCTAAAAGTGCTGGTTACCAAAGTCCAGCAGTTTTTGGCCAGACACGTAGCAGCAGGGGGCAGGGAGGAGGGGTGGTGGCAGCCACACGTGGAGAGGCTACAGCGCAGGATGGTGGGTGGCAGCATTGGCTGCCACATGCAAGCTTTCCTTTTCCCTGCCCCACCCCGTCCATGTCTGGCCAGCTGGCCAGACATTCCAGTTCATAGAGTGTTCTGGTTACTCAAATGTTGGATAACAGGCATTTTTTTACTGTATATAATATCATTAACAAAGTTTCTCTATGCTTACATGCCAATTTTAAGATCAGAAAAGATGCAAATGGAATGAAAAGTTACTAGTGCCTGGTACATTAGTGGTTTTTTGTTAGTCTACACAGTCAATGTTTTGCAGCTGCAATGGACACAAACCCGATAGTGGCAATCCCTTGAAATACATGACATCTTTTCATACAAATTAGGGTTCACCTGATATACTTAAAACATTTTATCTAGTTTTAGATAACACAGAGAGATTTACTATGCTTAAATTGTGGAATAGTAATCAATTTGCATCCTTTGTAGAACTGGAGTGAACTGGACCATACTCACTATGCAGATCACTTGCAGCTTCTGCTAACACAACATTTGTTCAAACAGATAAGCTACCAACATGCCAAAATGTGGATGACTACCCACACTGGGCCAGGTCTTTTCCCTCTGTTATGGTGCCAGGGTCATGCAAAAGAGCTAGAATCTAACTGCGGCTGATCAGCTAACAATGTCCTTAGGTCCCAGGATCTTGGAGTTCTTAGGATAGGCAGCTCCACATCAGTCACACCACTGTTGTCCCAACATAGGGACATGCCAGACAAAAAGGGGGATATTTTAGGGAACAGAGGGTACATCTATATGAAGCACTAAACACACAGTAGACTATAACTACTGTGCATTAGCATGTCATGGGAAAGACTGTGCTATTGCATTAATGCACAGTAGAATTAATCTACTGCATAGTAGCATCACTAAAAAGGCAAGCGCCGCTGTGATTATAGGTACTAAACTTAATGTACAGTGGGCACGTCTACACATGACTCTGTGTCTCCGGAGCAATGTGTTATGGTGATGTAGGGTCTGCCGACAAGAAGTGTGATGTCATAGCTACATCACTGTAGGAATGTGCTCCCTCATTATACTGCATTGCTATGATCAGGTAGCAGCTAAAAATAACAACATAGCAGATTTTACTGCACCAGCATCTAGTACTTCCAAATGCACATGTAGACATGTCCAGTGTGATGCAAAGTTCAAATGTAATCCACCAAGTTTCAGAAGGCACATAGTCCCTTAATTAGTTGGCATAAAATAATTGCATCTGCATCAGCTGTCTTGAGAATGAGGGTCTGTAAAATCTTTCTCACCCTGTTGCCAAGCAGACTTTGGTACATGAAAAAATCTCCCATTTGCTTGGTCACATTGAGTTGTAGTATAGAATTTATGAACTAGCATGTGCCTGTTAGTTCCATGGTACACACAGAAACCAGTTTTCTAATACTCAAGCACAATCACCCTTTTTCTATATGTGTAGATGTTTTGCTGATGAATTATAAGTACAAGTGTTGAATTACAGTACAAGTTATGCCATGTATTGTGCTTTTACTGTTCTATTATGATAAAGCACAAATAGTGATGTTAGCTGATTTAGCTTATTATTCTTTTGCATTGCTTTGTTAACAAGTATATGTCTCATACTAACCACCATTTAAACTTTGGGGGCTTCTGATCAATGTTGCATGTGTATGTGTTTATAGGAGTTCACTCATCCCACACATGCTCATCTAACTCTCCATTTGGTGCTTGTAACCAAATAGTACTTATCAGGAGATGTGGATGGCTCAAGATTTTTTTCATATTTTTTTCTGAAGAACTTGGATCTTAGTTTGAATTACATGTAATGTTTGAACTAAAATGTACCTTTGTGTCACATGTAAGTGGAATGATCTATCCTCACATGCAAACAGTTCACTTCTAGACCTAGGATAGGCATTCATAAAGCAGTATGCAATGCACTAGTGAAATTGTTGTTTTTTAAGCCATGGACATTTCCTTTTTATTCCCAGTGAATTCTGGTATTTTTATTAAAATGCAAAAGATGTTTGTCCAATCCTAGCTTTGTTTCCATCAATTTCAAGATTAAACTTTAGAACTACAAAAACTGTGGATCTTGACACGTCTCTATCTTCTTGCAGCTCCTGTTACAGTTCAAAGATGATAGTTTGTTAGACACAGATGTATACATATAGGCCAAGTACAGGCTTTACACATAAAATGGTATAGATTATTGGAAACCAGTCTATACCCATAATCGTACAGAAGTTCAAGGCACATAGACTGGTTTAAAAATGGAACACCCTAGTCTAAAATAGACCTTGATCGATGTGGTATCAGACTTAGTCATTTTAAGTTATACCGGTCTATTAAATTTCTGATCCAGAGCCATGCAGTTGTGAGCCAGGCTGGGCAGTGGCACCATGGCCAGGAAATTGGAGGCCCCCACTATTCCCCTCACTAGCTCAGGTCTGAGGGAGCCAGGGCCAGGCCCATGTGGCAGGGGTCTATGGTCCCCCACAACCTGGCCTCCATTGACAAGGGCAGAGAGGAGCCGGAGATGGGAGCCACACCAGCTGTCATGGCGGGGAGGGAAAGCTTCCACTGTGTGGCCTTGTCCCAGTCCAGTCCAGCCCTAAGCCAACAG